AAGTGCTTTGTACGTCACAGCAAGGGCCTAATGGTCCTTGGCTTTCTCTCGTGTTCAGTGCTTAAAGGCAACAAAGTGGTGTTGATTTTTCTGTGCCCATACGAGCAAACCAGAGTAATGAGGCTGCTGTGGAAGCCCCCAGCCTGGGACACAGAGTGAGGGTGTTTCTTGGGCCACGGCTGTCCGTCTAACATGGCGCCTGGGCACACGGCCTGACCACCACACTGAAAGCACCAGCTGGGAGTCCCTTCCATCGAGTCGCATTTGGCAGGGCCCATCACCCAAAAACGAGATCCTTAGGAGAAGAAGAGGTGAGAATAGGATGTGGCAAGAGAATTGTGCTCAAAAACTCCCACTTTTCCCTCAATCAGGCTGGCATACATGGTGCATGGGAATGGAAAGTGCACCAGAACAAGCCTCGAGCGGCCCAGCAAGCCACAGGGAAACAATCCATCCATCGTATCGCTGTAGATGAGCAATTCCTATTCACACCGCAGGCTTGCACTAACTTGCACTATTACTTCATAAACATAAAGCTCCTGCTTCTTCTTATTTAGCAGCAAGTCCTTGACCAAAACTCTATGAAAAGGACAAAACTTGAGTAATACACGTTTGCAAATCTTTAGTTATGATATCAAAGACAACCAATTTCTTGAGGTACCAACTATTTTGCTAAATACATAGCATACTATGTGTCCTGCTGCACTGCGCAGAATTCTTTGGGCTCGATAATTAATCACAGAACACACTAAGAACAAGACAGTTTCTATAAAATATTCCCAGTAGGCAGGAGGAGCAGATCCACAGCATCCTTCTTCCCTCCCTCACACCTTGCCTTGGATAAGCAAAAAATTCAGTACTAAAACTAGTCTGGATGCATCAAGTAATGCAAAGATACCACTTTTACTAGTTCTAAATCACTCCTTGCTCTGCTTTGCTATGACCAAAAGCTGGAAATAAAATACATATATATATATTCAAATGAATCAAATGTAGGACTCCCCCTCTCCCCTCCCCCTTTTTTTTTTTTTTAAATAAAACCAAAGTAAGAACTTACAAGTAAAGACACACACACACACACACATTCTCTCTCTCTCTCCAAATACTAAATATTCAGATGTCATAAATCAAACTTTCCAAAAATTTGGAGATCATCCAAAAATTATAATGTACCAGAATATTATTTGTCAGCATTTTTAATTCCTATTTCTATCTGTATAAACAGACTGCATTTAGTACTTACCAGTGAAATAGCTAAATACAACACTGGCACTAAAATAGATTGCACGTAAATGTGATGATAATAAAAACATAATAGTACACTAATAATCTGAGAGTTTGGACTGTAACCCAGAAATCTTGATTAAATTCAGCTAGGGACATCCGCCATGCAGGCGCTGCCACTGCAGAGGTCCTGGGGACCATGTGGAGCCTCAACAGGGCGGCTGCACAGTCGAACCTGCCTCCCTCTCCTGGGAATCTACAGCTCCAGTCCTACCTCTGCCTAAATGAGGAGTCACTGGTTTTCTTGACAGGAGGAGAAAGTGCAGGTACTGGTGGTGGAATGCCAACAGGAGGTCTTGATTAACCATGCCCTAAATTGCATCAAGTCCTCAGCACCAGATCTGCAGCAGAGGCAACTTGGGGCACTTCATCTTCCATCCTTGTCTCTCTTTTTCCCCTCCCTCAGGCTCATTCTAAGGGTTTTAAATATTTTCCATGCAGAAGTAAATTCCACTGTGACTAGCTAATTATCATTACTTATTAATAAGTAGGTGTTTCTCATTGCTGCATTGAAGTGACCTACAACAATGTTATATAATATATAAAGGCTTAGCTTAAATACCAAGAAGGGAAGATGTGCTGCTTCTGCTGCCCACACTTGATGCATTGGTGTTCCAGGCTCATGAAACCAACAGAAACATCAGGGGCAAAACCTCATCTCACTCAAATAAGTGGAAGCGCTCGTTGGCTTCAGGGCAGGAGGAAGTTTTAGCTCAAATATACATGGGTAAAGCTAATATGCAAAAAATCATCTGTTTATAAGTAACCAAAACCATAATGCTTCTTTATAAAAACTATAAGTAAAACACCACCTACTTATCTCTGATTTCTTTTTAATGTATACCCATATTTGAAGCTCAGTCATTCCCCTTGGCAATGACAGTAATTACCAGCAGATTTTTGAAGTTCAGCCTGTATACAAAATACATTTTACAAATTCTAGTAAATTATTCTGGCTTAGTTCTCTTTTTACTAGCTCAGCAGTGTTTGGGTGATTATGATATTCAAAATAAAAATAGAGAACAAATAGCAAGCCTATTTAAAACAAACTATTATTAATTTCTAATTTTCTAGCATAATTTTCAGGACTTCATTACATCAGTTGATGGTTCAGACCCCAAAATAGATAAATTAAGTCTTTAATATTAATTACAGTTTTACTTGAGTAAACGTGTTAAAAAGAGAATGATTTAAAACTCAGACATTTACATTGTTGGAACTTTAATGAGAAGAAGAGATATCGTTCATGGTGCTAAACTTATCCAGGCACACTAAGAACTAGGAATGTGTCCTTGCTGAATGGTAAAGGCTTCCAGAGAGCAGGTATACCTTGCTCCCCACAGCTAAACCTCACGGCACAGAAACACCCACCTACCTGCGAAGGTTTCAGTACCTACATTTCCCAGGTGCAAGTGTGCAAAAAATATCTGAGTTATTGACAATTCATACAGCAAGCCATATTTCATTAAATAGAGCTACAAGCAGGGAACATATCTTAACTCTGAGGGGAGATGAAGCAACAATGTTTTAAATGACTATTGACTCCACTAAATTTGCTGGTAGTGTCAGAAGACTGTAGTCTGTCAGGTTCATAAGAGACTCAAGATGATACAGGAATCCAATTATGCGAAGTCTATTTAGTTGTCCTGTTTGCTAAGGCAAAGGTTAACGAGAACTGCACTGAAAAAGCCTCCTGTGGTATTACAAAGTATTTCTTATGCTGCATAAAATGTAAATGAAAAAGTATTTTAATCAAGTCCGTCTTTAACTCTTTAATTGCGACTACAGTGCTAAACTCTCACACTAAACAGCACACAGGAAAACCCAGCACAGAAAAAGTGATTAAAAAATTCTGCCACTGCACTGAAGAGCTCATTACTTAACACTGAAGTAATTATTACTTAAATATTTCTACTTTGTAAAGGAAAAATATTCAAATAATCATTGCTAACATTAAATCTTTATAAATATTAAGTTATGGCCTCTAATTTTAGACAGAAATTAATTATATTTTGGTTGGTAACACATTCAAATCTGTTTACACAGCTGACAAGTCTCAGCTGCACCAGACTCAAGCCGGGAGCTTTGAGGACTCTCCTGCTTTGGAGCAGATGACTCTACATTCACCAGTTTCATTAAAGATGAAAAGGGAAAAATTCACCTGCAACAATGTCACTTGTAGAACCAGACTTAAAACAGATTTATGGGTTTTACATATGTGAGTGATCCTAGTCAAAAGAAGGGTTTTCCCTCCATTTATTTTGTTTTTCCTAAGAGCTGTGGGAAAACAGATTAATAGTTTGGGGTTCCAATTCTCTTCCATTCCTAGTCTGTAAACTAATAAAATGTTAAAAAAGGATTCCCGTTTCAAAGACTAATCACCACACGACACCATGCTGTTATTTCATATCTTGTATCTATAGTCTCCAACATGCTCTTGAATGGAATGGTTCTGAATGAACAGACTTATCCACATCTTTCAAACCTTACTGTTTCTGTAAACACTGCCACAAGTGCAGGCAATCGCACAGCCTTTGCTTCTTGCCTTTTCTGGTGGGGGACTGACAAATCCTTTACCCAGAGCCAAAAGAGAAGCAAGTTCATCATACAAACAGCAGTTCTTCCTTTATAAGGAGGGGAGCAGAAACTGGCAGCGAAGTAATACACTGAAGATAAAGAAAAAGCTGATCTCCACTCCATTTTCACTTTGTAGAAAACACCAACTCAACGCTTAGTTTACATGCATCATGATGGAAGTAGAAATACTTATTTTTTGCTGCAGGTCACTTCTACAAAAGTTATGTACAACCTACCTGCATTATTACTTCTGCCTTTTGTTCTCCTTTATTATCACTTTTTTTTTTTTTTTGAAAAGGTAGATATCACTGGCATTGGGAATATAACACCAGAGGAAAATTACCCAAGCAAAACTGAAAGAGATGCCTTAAAATACACTGTGGGGCCAATCATGCAAGGAGACATAATTCTACAGCTGTCTCACAATTTCACGAATTTGTAAACAATTCACAGCTAGCTGATTCCATTATCAAGTGTACATATTGATCTAAAAAATTAATTTCTAAATACCTTCCAATATCTTATACTTCTACATAATATAAAAACTGGCGGAATATGTTTGAAAATGGAAATGCATCGTGTACAGCGTATTTACTATTTCAAAATGAGGTAAAATTGCAAATTTTAGTCAGTTCTCCGAGAACCGATGTGTAAAAGCGCTTACAAGCAAGTGAAGCTGATTTCAACATGAACAGCTGCCTGCTTAGTCATGCCCAGGCTTAAGTGTACCAGTGACCTGATGCTTCAGACGCAATTGAGGAAAATATATAGATGTGTCCTCAGAATACGTCACAAATACAGGATGCTGTCTTGATATTCAAGCACTGCAATAGTCGTCTCCAATCTCCAACTTTCAAAATGTTGTGCAACTTCATTTCTATGGAGGAACACTGTGTGCGGCTAGGCTAAAACATGCACCGAATTTGATCGGTATCAGTAACTTCCATGCAACTGCGTGCTTCAGGAAAGCAATATATTAGTATCTGTGTCACTCAACATAAAGCTCTGAAATATAGGTAATAATAAACTTAAATTATGGCATATGGGACAAAAAAAATGCTATTGGGTAACTCTGACCATAAAACCAAGTAAAAATCAGCTCTTTCTGTTTAAAACATGAAATAACCAGAGCTACTCACTGAGTCATCTGTGGCAGAAGGAGGCCAGCCTTCCCACAACTGGTGACGAACAGGAATACTCGTTAGGTCATACACATTCCGCTTTACCTGTAACAAAAACAAAATAAAATCAGAAGGGGTACAGAACAAAGCATGCAGCCAAAACTGCATACAGCCACAATGCATTATTTTCACCCTGATCTCAAGCTTTTTATTTTTTTATTTTTTCCCCCATTTACTTATTGCAAAACAGGCACTTCCAACACTCAAAGACTCAGATCTTTTCCAGAGGGTTATGAACAATACAGGGGGAGCACAATTCTTGCCTTCAGCAAGAATAAACTGAGTAAACTGTTAGAGGAAAAAAATATATTAATTATGAATCATCATAAATGACAAATTATAGAACATCAAAAATGTGTTAAACTTTTCACAATACACATTCCTGGAGCAGAACACAATACAAAATATCAAACAAAAGGCTACCCTTTTGGGTAAGATAAGATAATAACAGAAATTCGGTTACAGTTTTTGCTAGGTCACCTATTCTGATTCCCCTAAACATTTAGGTTCACGGTATATCTAGTGCAATAAGAAATATAACTATTTTTGCATATATGACCCTTCTATATCTTCAGGGGTCTCATATCTTTGGTTTCCAGGTACAGACCTCAACAACTCATATTACAATCCTGGAAAATTTTCTCAAACAGTAAGATTTGGTGTTTTTTACTAACAATTTACATAAGGAGAAAATATCCAGACTGTATAGCAAACTCTCCTTCCATGTCTCAAGTTTTTTTTGTTTTGTTTCTGCTTGTCAACTGGATAGAACCAAAAATAAAATGTATTTTAGCTTCTGCTAAGAAGCATTACTAATCAAACCTGTGAACCAATAAAAGGTCTTCGAAGTAGCACGTGCCTTGCATTTAGCACATTAACAACAGCCTCTGCCTTGGAGCACTGTTTGCACTTGCTGTAAGATTGGGAAGAGAGCCAAAATCTTTGCCAAAATGAGAAATATTAGCATAATCCATATACTTAAAAGTTTTCTTAAGTAATGAATGAAAGTGGATTCTAACCTAATAGAGATAATGCAGTAAAAAAGCCAACCTACTATAGCAGACACTTTATATAATTTGATCCTATTAATCAGTTATTTGCTATAGCTTCGTCGCCAATGCAAAACTGAGGCTTTTGTATTCAATCTAGTATTTATTTTTAGTAGACAGTGCAAAATCCAGCAGTAGATTTCATCTAAAAACTGTGTCTCCATAATGAGATACTCAGCACCAAATCTCTTTTCCTCAGGATCATCTTTGGAGGGGGACACTGCACGGACTCTTTCTTCCACACTTTGCATGTAGTGCAGACATACCAGTACAAGGATAAAGGATTCACCTCCAGATATTAAGCGCTGAAAGAATTCTTTTCATCATTATAAATATCCTACATGGGAGGAGCAGACAGGGATTTATCTGCGTGCTCGTGCTCACAATCGTTTTCCACAAGGCTCTCATGGCACTGCTGCATGACTTTGCTAACAAATAAATATCACCGAGAAGTTCAAAGCAAAACAGCAGAACAATTGCCATGGGAATACAAGTTATTAGTGTTAACTAGGCTAGAGTTAAGTAATACTATCCACTCAAAGCTATAGATATCAGCGTAAAGCTTTATATATTCTGTGCAGATCAGTAGGAAACAATCACTGCAATTATGAACTAGCAGCAAGATACACTACAACTGTATGTTTCTACATGTCTCTACAGGACAAAGCTCAGATGGCATGGGGGCCTTATCTGGACTTTTCTGTATCATAACAGATAGTTGTTTTTAATTTTCAGCTCATCTCTGACTTCATGGTTTGTTTAAGGAATATATACATATTTTTAACTGTACATTAAATGTATATTCTATAAACTTGGTATTAATATTGGTTTTGTCCAGAAGGCTTTGCACAGAGCTTGATCTGATAACTATACTTCAACTTGTTTTTTTTATTATGTTTTAATTAAGAACTTGAAGAACGTTATTTTGTTTTACATACAGTCTGCTGAAGTAATTACTAGTAACTAAAGTGAACTTCCTACCATTGCTTCCTGATATTTAAATGCTCTTTTTAAAAAAAAAAAAAAAAAGACAAAAATATACTTGAATTATTAAAAACACTGGTTTCAATTCATTTCAAATATCTGTCCATACAAACACGTGCACCTGTGAAAAATGGAACTATGGAAGGCAGAACTCTATAGAATCGGGTATATGATCTCACTCCCACTGTTTAAAACAAACAGCTTTTCTTCACTGCTGCTTAACAAGGAGCTCGCCTGCTGTGCCGTATTCGTTTCGCAGGGGTATCAAGGTAAAGAGATGTCATTACTCAGTACTGACCCCACAACATCCCATCAGAATATAACAATACTAATCTGTGATCACAGGAACGGGGTCCTTGCTATTTTATTTTTCTAGCATTAAATACCAGGATAAATTGTCGTTGTGGGATAGCTGTTCTTCAACTGCACGTAAATAAAAAAGGCTTATTAATATTCTCACAATATACAATTCTAAAGTTAGCTACTGCGAAATACCAAGCGAAACACTTAAAGAAACCTGGGCTCAATAGAGCCGCATAATATTGTTTTCAAAAAGCCTTCAGAAGTAAAAATAAATAACACAGGAGTCACATTCCTCAGATTCCACTTTAATTCCCAAGTACAACAAGAAGGCATTATGAAAAAAACAGTATTTTCCTTCTTTCATTAACTCATCTGTAACTGCTCTGAATTCAATAACATTCCTCTGCTATTCTAAGCTTGAAAGGCATGCTCGGGGTATAGTGTTATGTTGGTATAAAGCACAATGCCAGACTGATGTGCTGAACAAAAGTGATCAAAGTTGAAGTAATTTTAGCCAACGCACAAGTATTTTGCTGCATTATTCTACCAGAATGACATCTGTTGAGCAACTCGTCATAGAATAAACTAGTTGTGATAGACAGGCCCGCGCCGCTAGGGTAGCACGTAAAACTTATTTGAGTCATGTTTGATTAAACAAACTGCTCGAGTTTTAAAAAAACAAAATCATCACTGGCTTTTGAATTCGCGCCAGAACGGTCCTCTTTCAAACAACAAGCCACAATCAATTATTTAAAGGATAAAATAAGCTTGCTTTCTGATGGTTATTTAACTTAATTTGATAATTAATAGAGTATTAAAACAGCAGAGGACCAAAGTTTTACAAACCAGGAATATTTGTCAATCGAATTTACTTTATTGATTTTAATTTCAGTTTAAAGCTTAAACTCTGTAAGGAGGAAAAAGTTGTAAAGATTCTTATAAAGCAGCATCATAAATTGCTTCTTTACTGAAGCAGAGAAGTGAAAACATACAGCTCCTCTCATGCAGCCAACAGGATTCAGCTAGCACCGTAAATGGCGACTTCTATTTACAAGTTCACACTATGTTGATAGCACTGAAATCTGTATAAACCTGTGGAAAATCTAACTTCCAGGGCCATCCACAGAACCCCATTTATTGGCAAACTTTTTGGTCACCTACCTTTGATCAGTTAGAAATACTAATTGCTGCTCTTGTCTTTGTGCAGCCCAGACTTTCTTTTCATCCCGTGCGGATGCCACGATGCCCGGCACATTACTATGGCAGCCGCCCTCCAGATTATGATCTTCAGAATATACCACATGATTTTCAAACAAATTAAAAATCACAGCTTTTTGCTTTGGCAGTTCAGCTGTTAATAATATCAACACAACCACTTAAACGAAAACCACCGAATCTTCAGACGGGATTTCACTTGCAAAATTACGAGGTAGCCCTTCCAAATGCCTTGCCTTGAACCTACGGACTGATGTTGAAGAAGCAATGGGAAGTTTGACCTTCAGTTCATTTTCACTGGTGTTAGAAGGGATGTAAAAAATAAAAGCTATTTTAAAAAAAGCCTGGATATTTACATAGCCAACCCACTGAGAACATCCACCCATTACAAGCAGATTCATACTTTCTTATCTTTCGCTGATTTTACCTGGTAGAGCTTGATAGCTATCAAGTATTTAGTTTTAAAAGGTTTAGTTAAACACCAAAGGGAAGCTCTGCTTGTAGATATAAAGTTAATCCAACATTCAAAGCCCCTCCACATCTATCTCAGCAAGGAGAAACTGAGGTAAAATGGATCACAGGGCAAGTTGTCTGTACTCTGTAATGAAGCGGTGATCATCTGCTGGTGCTTTCCGTTATGCAGAACAAGTAGCTACTGTCTAATGCCTGAAAATCTGAAACCTACCGGCAAAAAAAGCTCTCATCTATCAAATCATTAAAAGATAAATAAAATATTACGCTGAATCATCAAAGTACTGCCATGCCTGAATCTGTATCTTTGACTCCCAACAAAGAACCACAACAAAGTTTAACAGTAGTTTCCCTCAGGCTGTTTTCTGCTTCTGCAGGTACAAAGTTAATTGAAATAATGTAGATAATGAACTTTTGTTAGTCTTATTATTAAATATAATTTATGCAAAGCTGCAAATTGGCTGAGATGCTAAAGACTGTTCCAGGCACATAGGCAGCATGAAAGACAGTGCAAAAATGAGTGCGTGAAAGGCAGACAAAAGGAGCAATAAAGTCAGAGGACTGTAAGGAATGTGGAATGCGAGCTGGGGGATGCAGGGGAATGAGATCAGATGCAGCCGGCGCAAGGTTGCATGGGGCACCGCCGGCACCACCAGGTTTTTGACTTTGACATTGTAGCGGACGGGAAGCCAAGCCAGAGAAACGGCCGGGCCGGAGCCGAGAGGGCAGCGCAGGAGGGAGAAATGCAAAAGGGAGCAACAGCATTTTGTGCCAGCACTGGAGAAGGATGATGGAAGAAAGGAAGGAAGGAAAAAAATAAAATAAAAAATAAAGTGATAGTCTTAACCTCAGTGTAAAGTAACATGGGGAAGGACTGTAGGACTACATGGATACGCGCACCACAGTTCAACATTAGCACCCACACCAGGGCTCACGGGTCACTATGCAAGATATGCTCAAGTGGAATGGGATGAAGCTTTGTAGTGCATTTTGTCTCCAATGCCCAACATAGTAAAACAATTA